GAGTGGCTGAAAACAGCTTGTGGTTTTGATTCTTTGGAGGGGATTGGTGATGGACTTGTCAACTTTTATTGCACCGCTTCATTGAATTTGCTGCGTTTTCTGGAACCAGTTTCGCGTGAAAAGGTCACATTGATTGTCTTCGCATGCTTTTTTTTTCAACATTTGCGACTTCTCCCGCTTACTTTGTGCACTAGAGCAATGTAGCCTGTGTTCAGAATTCCTCCAGACGTTTCACGTACAAAAATTTACAAAAGGTTAATTGTATCAAAATTTCTTCAGATCTGTTATGAACTGATTATTTCCTCTCTGCAGTACTGCCGTGAGAAATTGAATTATAGTGATGAAGATGTGCAATTCTTTGTGAAAATGTTGATTGAAGCGGGCGAAGATATGGGATTGAATCGATATAACTGCAAAAAATTGGTTAAAGGAAGGTACCGTTAATCTTTACAGTCGCACAGCACAGACTTCCCACTATCCGAAAAAAGTTTATTTTCGAAATAGAAAATTTCTTTTAAATTTCTTGGGTTTTTTAGAAAGTGTCATCATGTAATAAAAGTTCATTAAAAATATCAACCGACTGAACAGGAGTGTCTTGGCCAGCTAAATTGTATACAGTTTTCAAGCATTGTTTGCTCCTACTGTTAAACACCTTTTTGGCCATTGCTTAAGCTTAAGCCCACTGCATACGACATAGAGAAGCGGATGGGGAAACATGGGCAAGAAAAACAAATTTCATGGCTAAAGTGATTTGTTTTGAATTTCAGTTGGTCACCACTTGACGAAGCCAATGCTGTATTTTATTGGCGATGTGTACTTATTTTTTGTCGGCGGAAATGTGCCACAGATGCGGATTGGTCTGAGTGTCGCTACCGTTTAGTACCAACGTTGGCCAGCTTTTGTCAGCTTGTTCAAAGGTAGCTGTATTACGTTTGTAAGCTAGAATCCTCATCTGGAAGAGGCTAGCCACGGATGATAATGCAGCGTCACAGCAGTTTTTGATAGGCAAACATATGTATTGGCGATGTAAAGGTGCATTCTTATGAAAGAGCAGTTGCTCGAAGTAGTATTCATAGTAACCTGCGTCCTATCAAAACTGTATCTTGTACGACTTTTTTAGGATACTGAGATTCGGTGTAGAACTCCTCCTAGTATTATGCCCCATCATACACGCCTTCCAGGTGTGCCTTAAAAGAATTTCGTGATCTGAACAGTGGTACTTGTGCATGCGAGCATGATGCGGTGAGAAATAGCTTTTCTGTCATGCGAAGAACTGAGATCTCGGCCAGGCCTGAGCGCAGCTAATCTGTATACGATTTGGCATATTGCCACGGAGTCAAACAACCCGTAAAAAGGAGGGCGGGTAGGGGAGGGGTGCATCGGCAGTTTAGCAGCGAGTGGCCGTTATTGGCAGTTGCTGCACTCGGGTTACATTTGAGTGTTTCCGCCTCTCATAGCGAGTGAAAGCGGAGAAGATTTTGGTTTGTTTTTATGAGCACTGCTACGCGAAAGTTCTTTGAAACAGTTCCAAAATTTTCCATTCCATGTGACTTCAAATCAGATTTTTACAACCTTATTCTGATCAGCTCTCCTCTCACTGCTGCGCTTTTTCTTGCTATCAGTGCATTTGCAAGTGCTTCCGTTCTGCTCTGTCTTGAGCTTGCAGCACCCTGTAAAAATGTTTAGATGGATCATTGCATGTTTTGCTGGTCATCTAAGTGTCTCTATAGCATAGCGAACCGGACTGTCCATTTTTTAGACGTCTTACTAACTTTGCTCTCCATTTTTTTTACGTTTTGTGCTGTGTAACAGCAGTACAAAACGCATATTGTTACGGGGTTGTCTGTGTGTGTGTTTGTGTGTGTGG